CTAAAGCCACCTCATTCTAATTAGATGGCTAAAGCACTGCATGAACAAAACAAAGAGATAAGAACATAAAAGATCACTCTGAAGAATCCCTCTAAAGGTTATGAATGAGGCAGTAGTTGCACAATTGAACGTAACCTAAAGAGATATCGATGAAAGGCTTTTCATACTAAAAAAGCAAAACTGATCAAGAACTCCAACATCCTAGGGACAAATATTTTTTGAATTCTAAGCGATCGCTTGGTACGAAGAAAGAAAATTATTTAATTTTTACTAAGTGTCAAAAACATGATAGAGATGTTTAAATTCAAAAATATAATACGAGGACAAGTGGGGTCAAGTCTTGCAGAAGACACGCCAACAACTAGAAGAGAATCATCAAACAAAAGACGTAAGGACGACACTCTCTCAGTTTGGTTTGAGATCCCTCTTAAACTGGGGTGGAATCTGACTTGGGACAACCTATATACCCGATAGCTTTCTAACTTGGATGCGAACAGAAAATGGATCAAGCTATTTTTTGGGACTTAAATTTTCAAGGGTTCTTTAATAGTAGATATTTTCAAAGAAGTCAAACTAGTCTATAGAAAAACTTGAGTAACAAATTAATGCCTAGACTAAAACTTGATGCCATCCTGATGAATGAATAGTGTCCAATATAAACTTGAGGCAATAATTAATAAAAAAATAATAATTTGGTTTAGCAAAATTAGAAATAATGAAAACCTTAGGCCAACAAACAATCTTTGGATAAACTTGGGGGAAATAATTAGTCCTTGTGTTAAGTGATATCAGGTTTTTATTGGAGTTTTTTAAAAGTAAAATATTTCAAGCTTCCCTGTACTATTGGTCAAAGGATAAATAGTCACTGAACAAAGCAAAATTGGGTCCTTATATTAAGTGGGATGGGGTATCACGTTTTAGGCACATTATTTTATATAACCCAAATTAGATGGAAATTTAAGCCCATATATATAAGGACTTAATTTTATTTTTAATTAATTTTGTTTGGGGACTATTTGTGTTGAATAATCTATTCAGTGGCTGTTTATGTTTTGATCAATATTACATGAGACTCTGATACATTTTATCTATAGAAAATTATTAACAATTAGATTTATGAGATTTACTAATGAAATCTACTTAATTAATGCATAAAATACGCATTGATGATTGATGTTTTTATAAGTACATTCGATAAGACTATTATATAAAATTAAGACAAAACAACATTTTTTGTGCTCAATTTTCGTTTTGTTTTGTTTTTTTTTTTTAATTTTCTATTTTGGTGGCCAACTAGTAATTTCTTCTCTTTTGCTACCCAACTTTTGAATTTTTTTTTCTGTTTTGCTATTCACATTCACAAGAGATTATGAATGGTTGACGTGTATGGGATTAGCTGCCACATAGTAGTAAAAAATGTCACGTAATAGTCAATTCCAAACATGTCGGTATTTCATAGTCTCAAGTGATTGTAGGCACTCAAACAGAAAAAATAAATCAAAATTTAGTTATTGAAATAGGAAAAAAAAATCAAAGGTTGAGCATTGAAAAATATATATATACGCAAAGGTTGGGCATCCAAAAATACAATTTTTTCACACCAAATGTCTCTCTTCTTCTTTTACTTTGATCTATCTTTTCTTTGTTATAAATAGATTCTATGAATTTCTTATGCTTTCATAATCTTTATATATAAATGTGATTTCTCAAAACTTCTTTTTAGATTTTAAAAGTCATATAATTCTAAATCCTAAAAAGTTCGGCAATTACATGCATTTACATCTTTTTGTTATTTGCTAATTGCACAAACAATAGTAACAATGCATTCACTTTTTTTTTTTTTAATTCACATTTTACTTATTAGTACTTCTATCATTATCGTCATTATTATAAAAAATATTACACCTTCAACTCCCAAACCTTTTAGCTTCATACTAAACTTATTTATGTTAATTTTATCTCATCTCGATCTAATATAAAAAAATTCAACAAGTTATTGGCCATAAACAACTTATGTCACCCATGATATTCTCTCTAGACAGAGAAAGCAATTTTTGTTCTTTGTAAATTTCTCAATTGGCCAAACAATTTGTTCCACAAATAGCTATGATAATTGGACCTTATATGCCTTTTTTTTATTTAATATTTATTAGAATTTATATATATTTAGACTTAGATGATATAATTTTAAATTTATCTAGACAACTAAAAGAGTAGAATTTTTTTTAAAAGTAGTTTTTGACTAATATAGAGTACTAAACATTACATTTGATAAGTAGAAAACGTTACGATCATGATATGAAAAATATTTATTGGTAATACAACCAAGTAGAAATTGTTGGACTAATTATGCCATTTCGAGGTAAAAAATTTCTTGAGAAAAATATATTTTTTGTGCATAACTTTTATTTTTTTTCTATTTTAATGCCTAACTTTTGATTTTTTTTTTTTTTCATTTGAGTGCCTACAATCACTTGAAAATATGAATTGTTAATGTGCTTAGAATTAACCGTCACGTAACATTTTTTACTATCACATGATAGTTGATTCCGGACACATTAGTAATAGATAATCTCATATGATTATGATACCAAAATAGAAAAAAATAATAATAATCAAATATTAGACACTAAAAATACCATTTTCTCATTAAATTAACATTACTAAAAAAATAAAAATAACTCAAAAAGATTAGCAGAGAACCTGTAATTAGCTTTTCGTAGATTATTTAATAATTAGGAGAAACACTGAAATTTTTTTAAAGTTCTCGTGTCGATGCTAGAACAATAATATTATAGGGAAAAAGGTAAAGCACTGGTCGATCTAGTAGCATAATTGTTAGATCGGATCCATAGCTCGACCTAGCTAGGTAGATATAGATATAAATTATAAAGAAAAGTTAATGCCCAAATTAAACTAATAAAATAACTAAATATATAGTAATTGTTTCCCTGTTGGAATTGTATTCCGGTGCGTATAGTTTAATGGCAGCATCTAATCTTAATCTGGTGGTTACAAGTCTGAGTCATTGCCGGTTACTGGGCATCATGCGTTTTACCTTCTATTCTCTTCTATAGCATTAGCCGGTGCCAAGTACTCTCCTTTTTTCTGTCTTTTCTCAGATGGGATTGTCAGATTCTGTTGAGAACATGCAGTTCAAAGTGCCAGGTAATGCAATATATTAATTATAGCATATGGAGTCTATACTATCAATTTGGTCAATTTTATCCCTCAATTATCATATTTTGAACAAACATTATTCATTCATTTGATTTGACCACTATCATCAATCAAAAATCCCCTTTAATAAATTTAGTTTTTAGTATTTTAAGTTGAAAACTTCCACATATACTAATAAAATTCAATTTACTTTGAAATATATATTTTTTTAAAAAAATTAGATCAAGAAGTATTATTAAATTTTTCTTAAACATTAAATATTTATAAAATTATAAAAAATAAAAATAATATGGAAAAGTCTCATGTTTGAATTTGAATTATAAACGTTAAAAATGCACCGGTTAATGATTCTAAATAAAATAACTAAAAGAAAGAATGCTTTCTTTACTGGAGTATTGGATTCGATAACGATACCATTTTTTTTAACCATATTAAAATCAAGCACTATTTTTATGATTTTTTTGTTTTTGTTTTTGTCCTTTCTCTATCTATGCATATAAAGTATATATATTTTTTAAATTCTTAATAATAAATGAGATTTGTATTTTTTTAAAATAAATATTCTTTTTTCACCAGTATCTTGGTCATATTATTTGATCATTTGAACAATTCTAACTCAAGCGGGGAAGAGGGGCTTAGTAGCTTCACTGGCGAGGTGAAGGATTACAAAGATCGACCTTAGTTATCGTAGAGGTGCGTAGCGCTAAGGCCGTAGTGAGAGGACGGAGTGACGGGCTACTATATAGGAAAGCAGAGACCAAAGCCTGAGTTCTCAATTTTTTTTTGAAAGCTCTGAAATAATTATATACATTTATATATTTAGTTTTATCATGATTCTTGAAATACTTGAGGGATCAAATACACAACACCTAATCAAAGGTTAAAATAGATTAATTTTTGAAATTATATATGTAAATATTTTGAGAACCGCACTTAGATTATATATATATAAATTAATAAAACCTCCTTAGAGCTTTAAAAAAAAAGGATAATTCCAGCTTATTTCCAATTCTTCATAATTTATTGAATTTTGTTTGTTTAAAAAATAAAATAATATGTGACTTCAAAAAATTTTAAAATTATTTTTCAAGTAAGTTGAATTTTCCTTAACATTTATATATATAAAAAAATTTCAATTAAAAAACTACACAAGAATTAAATAATAATAGTTAACTCAAAACTTAAAAGAGCTATCACAAAATATGCCAACAATTCGTGTCATAATAATAGCAAAAAGATAATCAATGGCAGCAATATGTAGCATTAATTGACTCAACTAATGATTAATTAACGACTAGGTAATTAAGTGGTTTAAGAAGTGACTAGTTAATTTTTTGTTACGCTTTGGTAATGGAAAGTAGTGTAGAGTAGCCACTCACGCGCGCTTATTAATGGAATGGGGATTGAAATGACGGTGAAGAAGAAGAAGAAGAAGAAGAAGAAGAATCAGAGAGCATCAAATTAAGGTCTTAATATTTCAAAAAATAAAGGTAATAAATACTGCCTGTGCCTCAGAAGAATAACACGAAACGTAACATACGACAAAGTTGATATAGACTCTTGACTTTTCCCAGATACTCTCAATATATATGATCTCATCTCATCCCATCCCATCCCATCGCGTACTCTTCTGTTCTAACTCAGCCTCAGTTTCCCATTTTTATTTCGCTTTCTCCTCAGCTTATACTAATCACTCTCTTCCAAATTACAAACAACTATGTATTCTTAAGTATAGTTGTTTCTCTCCTAATTATATAAAAAAAAGTAACATACCTCTGTGTGTGTGTGTGTGTTTTTTGAAGACATTAATAATTAGTTAAATGGAGGGAGGGATTCATACAGGGACGACAGATGCCTCTGCTTTTAGAGACTGCTTCTCTTTATCCTGGAAGAACCCTTATGTTCTTCGCCTTGCTTTCTCTGCTGGGATTGGTGGCCTTCTCTTTGGATATGACACAGGTACTTCATCAATGAATATTTATGTGTGTGTTTATCTCTCTCTTTCTCATATCATCGATATTGTGGGCATGCAGGAGTCATATCTGGTGCTCTTCTTTACATCAGAGATGACTTCAAGTCTGTGGATAGAGAAACTGTATTACAGGTACCTCATCTTTCTTTCTTTCTTTCTTTCTTTTGCTGTTTGTTTGTTTGTTAATGCACTGGGTTTACTTAAATTAATTAAGACATGAAAGAATAGGTTTTATTTAGTTATTTATATATGTATTTAGATTAAGCCAAAAGAAAAGGCAGACCAGAGACTCTTTGCCTTCGCCAATTAATTCCAATCCTTTTGGTCGGTGGCAGTGGCACCCTTTCCCATGGAAATTGAGGTTTCCCTTTTAAATTAATCAGTTCACCTAAAGCATCTCTCCCTTTCATCATTTTTAATTTAATCTTCAGAAACCCAACCCAACCCAACCCCATCACATCACATCACATATTAAACTCACTGCATACATACATTTATTTGGATCATCTTCTTAATTAAAACCTCTTCACTTAATTGGCTGAAATCATCTTTTGGATATATATATATATATATATATATATATTTTTTTTGTGATTAAATCAAACTATATATACACAGTAGCAGCTCACTTCTTTGTTTCTCTTACCAACCCAGTTGATCTTGCAGTTGGCTCAAAGAGAAAGGCCTATGCTTTAAATAAATGGAGGAAAAAAAAAAACTGCATTTTGGTTGATAGCTGAGCATCATTTTTGTTTATGTTATCCTTCTAGTGGGTATCGGACAACTGATTTTTTTGAAAAATTTAATAGTATAATAACTTCATTAGTTGGACTTAATGTCTTCTTCTAATTTACTGATCATAACTTTCAAACGATGCGGACAAGTGTTTGTCTAGGCTGATGCGCTGAAGTTTCTAGGCTTGTGTTAGAATAACTGCCAAATCAAAGTAATTTATCTTTTGACCACTTATAAAAGTTTGACTCACACCAAAATCGAAAAACATACAATACACCACGTGTCAGTATTTAATCAGATCCAATAATACATCTACTCATAGTTTGACTATTCTTTTGAAATCCAATCATTATTCAGACTCGGCTCTTGAAAAAATAGTAAATTTATTTCAGCAAAAAAAAAAAAAAAACAACCACCAAACTATATTCATATTTATTTTTTCCAAACTATATTATCTTTTATCATTAAATTATTTTGATTTTTTAATTAAAGATTTATCTTAAAAAAATTAAATTGCTTACAAGACATCGATGTTTCCGTAAAAAAAAAAAAAAAAAAAAAAATACAATTTGGATAGAAATATAGACGAAAAGCTTTATTGAGTTGAGAATTTTTTAAAGTTTGATGGTAAATTTGATAATAAAAATTGTATGGTGATAATATTAAAACTAACTACATGGTTGGGTGGTATTTTTGATGCTTGCGTCCAACTATTTATTAATGCCTTCCTACAACATTAATTCACACTTTTTTTTTTTTTTTAACTAATTGAAGTTTTGCTCTTTTTTTTCATTTATTTGAATTTACCATTTTAAATTGATGAAATCTTGATTCGAATTCAATTCCATTATGATATAACTAAATAGATTCTATTATAATTTTAATCAATTAATACGTGACAACTCCATTTGAACCCATCAATTTGCTAAGTCTGTATGCTGTCTAATCCCTTAATTTATCATTTTCAGCTGTACTTTTCAATGGCACATTTCCTGTTTTGGTAATCTCTCCATACACATGAATGTATGTGCACACATTCAGTTAACAACCGTAGATGTACCGAGGTCTGACGTTCTTTACTTTCCCGAAACAAGAAAACGCATTATCTTCCCGTTGTACACGATATTTGATCGACTAATTTTTTTTTTAAAAAAAAAAAAAGAAAAAAAAAGAGAGAAAAAAAAGAAAACAGTTCTGCTTCAGCCTGTCCCAACCATATAATGAAGAGCAACCATTTTTCAGTCTAATAAATATCATCACACTGCGTCAGTGTCTTTTGTTCTAAGTAACCATTGGGTATCCTAATTATAAATTATGACCCGTAAATAGGAGAGCATTGTGAGCATGGCAGTTGCCGGAGCAATCATAGGAGCAGCCATTGGTGGATGGGCGAATGACCGATATGGAAGGAGAAGTGCAATCCTCATAGCAGACTTCCTATTCTTCATTGGGGCTGTTATCATGGCTTCTGCTCCTAGCCCAGCTCCTCTCATCGTTGGTAGAGTTTTTGTTGGACTTGGTGTTGGAATGGCATCCATGACTGCCCCTCTCTACATTTCAGAGGCTTCTCCGGCTAAAATCCGAGGTGCCCTTGTCAGTACCAATGGATTTCTCATTACTGGCGGCCAGTTCCTCTCTTATCTCGTCAACTTGGCTTTTACCAAGGTAAGCTATATACATATAACGAAGCTCCTGAATTTGTCTATTGCCGTACACGAGTTGCATATTACGTACAGTGTCATCTGCAAGCTTATTTGAAGTTGGTTTTACAGCAAAATTTGTCAGAGAGTTGTTTCACTAGACAAGTTTATTTATTCTGTTCGGTAAATATGACAATGCTTAAACTTGCAATGTCTTGTCCAGGCACCAGGAACATGGCGGTGGATGCTTGGGGTTGCAGGACTTCCAGCTCTGCTGCAGTTCATCCTAATGCTTCTTCTTCCAGAATCCCCCCGCTGGCTATTTCGCAAGGTTCTCCTTTCATTTCTCTCTAACATTTGCTTTCATAATTCTTGGTAAGAAATTATATTTTTCCTGGCCCTAAGGTTTTACATATTACAGGGAAGGGAAGAACAAGCCAAAGCCATACTAAGGAAAATATATCCAGCTGATGACGTTGAAACAGAAATCCAGGATCTAAAGGAATCAGTAGACAAAGAACTTCAGGAAGAAGGGAGTTCTGAGAAGATCAATTTCATCAAACTATTGCAAACCAAAACGGTGAGAAGAGGACTCATTGCAGGTGTTGGCCTTCAGGTTTTCCAGCAGTTTGTGGGCATTAACACAGTCATGTATTACAGTCCTACCATCGTTCAGTTCGCTGGTTTTGCATCTAACCAAACTGCACTCCTTCTCTCACTTGTCACTGCTGGACTCAATGCCTTTGGCTCTATCGTGAGCATATACTTCATTGACAGGACAGGAAGGAAGAAACTTCTAATAATCAGTTTGGTTGGTGTCGTAATTTCCCTTGGTCTTTTATCAGGAATTTTCCATGAGACTACGACACACTCACCTCTGGTTGCAGCAAGTGAATCGCGCTTTGCTGCCTACACCTGCCCAGATTACAGTTCAGCCACACATGCTGGTGCTTGGGACTGCATGAAATGTTTGAAGGCTTCACATCCAGATTGCGGGTTCTGTTCTTCAGCTTCTGATAAGGTACAATAACTACATCTCGCATATATTAATCCTACTCACATCATTGTTGTCATTAACCAATAACCAGCTGTACTGCAATAGAAATTCAATTCTAAAAACTAAAATGTTCAAAAGCTTACGAAAAGTTCAACAATTCGGATCTCCTTGATATTGAATCGTTAAGCTCACAGATAAAATGAAGCGACCAACTTGAAACATAGTATCCCTCCTGACTACCGAGGTATGAGAAACAACTAGTTCTCGAGACATGGGAACAAAGAGCAATACTTTGTCAGAGCTAACTCAAAACCCTCACTCTAAGAAATCCTTCCAGAGTCATCTATGATAGTCGTTGTTATTTTATTGCAGCTACTGCCAGGTTCATGTTTAATCTCAAATGACACAGTCAAGGATCTTTGCCACAACAACAATAGGGAATGGTACACAAGGGGATGTCCAAGCAAGTACGGATGGGTTGCACTAATTGGCCTGGCACTCTACATCATATCCTTCTCTCCAGGAATGGGTACTGTCCCATGGATTGTCAATTCTGAGATCTACCCTTTGAGGTTCAGAGGGGTCTGTGGAGGGATAGCTGCCACTGCAAACTGGATTTCAAATCTCATCGTTGCCCAGTCCTTCCTGTCATTAACACAAGCTATTGGGACGTCCTGGACATTTCTAATTTTTGGGGTCATATCTGTTGTGGCTTTGATCTTCGTCCTAATCTATGTACCAGAAACAAAGGGGCTTCCAATCGAGGAGGTTGAGAAGATGTTGGAGCTTAGAACCCTGCACTACAAGTTCTGGGAGAAGACTTCTGACCCATTAGAGAAGAATCAAGAAGTGTGAGGAGTGCATGGATTACAAAATTCGAACAGGGGTTTCTTAGAGTACAACTAATTTAAAACATAGCTATTCATATAGTGTACGTCTTACCAGTTACCGCCTTCATGAAAAATGGGAGAGACCTAAATTTCAGTCAATAATTCGAATTAGGCAATCTTTGAAAAGAGTTGCCTCAATTACTCAATTACTATATTGAAGTGAGGAACAAGTGTATGATACTGTATTGCTTCCTAATTGCTACTATTAAAGACTAATACTGTATTGCTTGTATACTTCCGTTGACTTGGAAATGATATCGATTTTCAAGCAAATCTGTGCAAGTAAGCCAAAATGATAAACGGCAAGGTTACCCTCTTTCCCTTCTTTTCTCCATTTTGTTATACTTGACCATGATAGAAGAAGATAGATCCCCGCAGCAATTTTGCCAAAGTATTCTCAGCAAAGACGGCAAGCATCTATACAGAAGAGTGACGTATCTCTGTCACATATTTTCTTACACTTGTGAAGGAAAGACGAATCAACTAATACAATAGCAAATGTATTAATTGCTTCCATAGTTAAAAAAAGAAAAAAAATTCCTCTAATTTGAAGAAAAAACTATGGAATCAGCACCCATTACAATCAAATTCAGCTGCTTAAAGGTGTGTTTGTTATTTTCCTCATTTTCCTATGTTGGTTTGGCCAAGTTGGAAAAAAGTCAAAGGAACTTATTTTCCAGCCAAGAAAAATTTAAAAGGTAAGCCTTACAAATTGACTTTCCAAAAAAAAAAAGGGAAAACATTTTTTTCTAGAGCTCGAGAGTAGTCTATCCTTGTTTTTACCCAAATCCATCCATTTCATTGTTGCCTAAAGTCAATTGGACATCTTCGCCACCCAACGTCGCCATAAAAAAGCTAAAGTCGTCGCGACAAGGCCAAACAAAACTTGCAAAAACGGTTAGATCTCGCTGTGATTTCTTTTAGTAATATTGTTTGATTTGTCGGATTTTTGTATATCTTTTTTCTTCGGATCCGATTTCTTGTATAATATTGTATGATTTGTTTGTTTGTTCGTCTTCCTCATTATGGGTGAGATTTTGCGGACCTTTGGAGCTTAAATTAGCTTGACATAGGCAAAGTATTTGGTCTATCAAATCTTATCTCGCTTTTAATCCGTTTCTTGCACATGTTTTTTTGATTAAAAATCACAACTCTATTTAGTTTAGCTCGTACCTAACACTCGAAACACATAGTTTAACATTTTTCATAGAAAAAGGTTACAAACTCGAGCAATATGGTCGGCTAAAGTAAGAATCTTCGGTTATTTTTTATTCCTCCGGTCCTTCTACCATCACGTGCAAACATTATTAAGGTAGTGCCTTCAAAATTCAGAAAGGAGAGCTTCGACTTTCTAATACTACCCTTGGATGGGCAAGCAAAACATGTTTAGGATGGAGAGGTTGGGTAGGGCATATCATGTAACAAGCTTAATGCAAGGAAAGATCGAAGACTCGTTGGGGTTTTCAATCCCGCCATGATTTCTTCCGAACATGACATAGAGAGAGACAATGACATTGGCGTTTGGAGAAACATTCGACCCGATGGAGTACTCGTAGCTCATACTTTCATTACTAGTCGGGGATAGATCACCTTTATCTTTGAAGATGTCGTAATGCTTCTACAACTAGATACTTTTGGGAAAGATGACATTCATGCCATTATCTTGGACGAAAATGAATCGAAATTGATGAAAAAATTGGATTTGTCATACACTCGTCTCATTCTAGCACTACCAAAACACCCACCTTCGAGCGAGTGGATTTGGCACTTCTTCAAAAGAAGTTACGAAAAAAGCAATAGAGTAAGTAATGGAGTATGATTCGAAAGCAAATATGAGCTTGGAGGCATTTATTGCTTTTTGGTTGTTAACATACATAAGCCCGGATGTCCCGTTTATGGAGTGAGCTTCGAGGGTCTTTCCTATTGCCATTAAAATTGCTTAAGGGAAACATTTTGCCTTTGCCCTTATTTATGTTGGCTCTTTACTTCGTGGTCTTAATATGTGTCAAAAATCATCTCAATCCAAAAACTTAAGTGATCATGACTCTCCAACATATTTCCTCAATCGAAAACTCTTTAAGCTTGAAACTTACACAGTGTCTATACTATTTTGTATTTAATTAAATAGAAGAAAAAAAGAAGAATTGTGAGATTCGAATTAGTGACTACTTAGTCAACAAGGTTATGATACAATATCAAAGAACGATCTCAACTCAAAAGATTAACCTCGTTAGATAAGGTTTCAATATGACTCTCTAATAGCATGTACCATGAAATTACAATATAGAATTTCCATGGGTGGTTATGCAATCACAATATATATTGATCATCTATTTTTACGAGTATTTCTTTATCTCTTTTTTTCTTTTTCTTTTTTTTTTTTATCGTTGTTTATGGATTGAAAAGTGATCGTGTTATTTTCAATAGGTTTTTTTTTAAAGAGCATTTTAAAAATTAGGCTCTAAGTGCTCACTCCATTGCCTTGTGATTCCATATTTGTGGTTGTGAAGGATGACAGGAAGACCTCTAGAGTCTTCAAATTTTCACAATATCGAATATAGGCTATGATTGAAAAAGCATCCAAAAGGGAGTTGGTATAGGTTATTGATAAATAGAAGGAATTCACGCTCCATCCTTATACTACATTGTATGGATTCCTCACACATGTAACAATGTGCAATTTGATTGTTGAATATCTCTAAAGTAGATACAAAAATTTGAAGATAAAAACAAGAGAACACAATCTTAATGTAGGTACTCAAGATCTAATCATGTTTGGATAGGTTTGAGTTATTATACTATTGCATTATTCATTAATAAAAGAGTTTTTCTATTAATTCTTATGTCTTATATTTATTTATTGAATAGAATTAGATAGAAGTCCATATGATGTTCATTTGCATTAGTGATTGATGAAAAGATGTGAAAGAAGCACTAATACACATAAATGATATCATTAAATGTTTCAAATTATAGCATTGTCAAGAATATACATTGACTAGATGCGGTTAGACTTGTGAGTGTTATGCTTAAGCTATATGATAGCAGAAGGAGATCTCACACCTATTGCACTTAGGTAATTTATGTTAGAAAACATATCACTAGACTTGACTCACCATGAGAACTCATTTCGTTTAACTATAAGAATCTCATATGAGATGGGTATAGTTGGTCCTTAGACTCGAAGTCATCATGGTTATCTCATTGGAGGATTTGTGTACTTTGACACTCATTTCGATAGATCCAGTAAAGGGTTACAAATGAGCAATTCGTTGGGTGCACTAGAAATCTAATGGAGGTAGGTGGATGACTAAATAGGATATGTAATTTTTTGTATACTAAAGGAGCTATTTTATTGCACTTCAATGAATGTTTACTCAAGAAATCTGTGGCTACAATAGGAGTACGCCAACGGAGTATAGTTGGTGGCTACAATAGGAGTACGTCGACGGAGTATAGTTGGTTTACTCTAAGAGCTAAGACATTTGGGAATCGAAGAAAACTTATATGATCATAATCGAATAAAACTAATAACTAAGTTCAAGATCACATTATGATAAGTTGACATAAGGACTCGAATTGTATGATAACCATGCTAGTGAAAGGTAATTACAAATTAATTAATCCTCCTAGAGAATTTGGTAATCATGATGTCTTGCTAGAGGCCTATCTTGATTTATGTATCAAGAGATAAAAGAAGTGTCTTTTATTTTTGATATATTACCAATATATCTAGGAGCCTATTGAGTCACATGTATAAGTTTAAGCTTCCACATAATAAAAGAGAAGATAAGATGTTGGAAAACGTTTTCAATTTTCAATTTTCCTATTTTAAAAAAGCTTTTCGAAAATGGAAAGTTTCTTAAAATGAAAGTTTCTTAAAATGGAAAGTTTTTTATTTTAGAAATCAATATTCTAATTTGGAAGTTAGTTCCAAATTCGAAGCAAACAACCTAAAAGGAAATTAGTTTCTTAATTTAGGTTTAAGGGTAATTTAGAAAATTGCTTCCTAATGTGGACCTCTTAAAATTATCTAACTTAATTTATTTGGATAATCTAAATTAATTAATTGGGTCAAAATAGTTTGGGCTAGTAGATTTAATTAAAAGCCCGAAAGATATTTTGATGGGAGGATAAACATGGACCTTATAGAATAAGGATGAATGTTTTAAAAGATAAAATCAAAAATCCCACATGCATAATAACTCTTAATCCTTAGAGGATTAGGAAGCAACAACCAAGAGATTTTTTTAGGACTACTTACAGTCCCTCCTTGTCCTCAAAGGATAAAGAAAACTCTCCCTATATAAATAGAAGGAGAGGTATGACAACGTGTAAGGATTTTAGAGAGAGATAAAAACAGCACAAAGCAAAAAATTTAAGGACCACAACATTGAGTAAGAATTAAGGAGAAAATAGTTTTCTCCCCAAAACTCTATCACATGCCACTTTCACTTTCTCTCTTAGGTTTTTCACAAAGTTACACCGATTAAATTTCAAAAGAAAAACACTAAATAAGTCAAATTAGTGAAGCTAGCACTCTATCAATTTTAAGTGCTTCTTTTATGAGTGTTTGAACTCGTGTGGATTATCGATAGAAGTCGGATACTTAGACGACTCCATTTCTATAAAGGTTTAAATCTACTTTACAAAAGATAATTATTTATTTAATGTTTTAATGCATGAATATATGGTTAGTTGATTCAATGACATGATCTTAGACCACTTTAGATGGAGAAATTTTTTTTTATTTTGCACCTCCATAGGATGCTTGATCTTTCAATTGGTATTAGTCTTTGTTAAATCTTTGATTGTATGCTTTATTAATTATGATTAACTGGATGAAGTAGCTATTCTTGATTATAAATCTTATGTTTATAGTATTCTATATATGTTTAAAATTGAGGTTTGGGCTTAAATCAAGTGAAGGTGCGTGAGGTCGACATTAGACGTTGGTGCTTGTAC